AGATTAAGGGATGCAACGGGGATCGATTGATGGGGAATTTAATTCTCCATCACACCCTCTGTGTTTCATTCCTTAATATTAATTAGCCAGCAAATGAATCACCTGAAAAACATTAAGAAAATGCTGAGGACGAGGAGGACACAAATTCCACTCCGAAACTATCCCTGTGACAGCGGGACTGCTACTGCCGAGTTACCGCACCGGCAGTTCGCTCAGCCGTCAGATTCGACCGTGGCGGCATCCCTCCGTGGGGGTCGAACTACTTTTGGCTTGAGGTCAGTCTAACCCCGAGATCTGAGCCTCTACTTTAGTCAATCCTCTTTGGCGGGACTGCTACTGCCGAGTTACTCACGCACCCGACTCACATTTACCGACAATTCGACCGGGTCGCCGCCTTTCCCGTGAGGTACCAACTAACATTTTTGGATTCAGTCAAACCCCCCGATCCGGGCCTTTACTCAGGTCTATCCTCTTTGTCCCCTATAATCTCTGACTCGGGAAAAAATCCTCCATGCCGGCCTTAATTGTTTTTGTATGATTTTCTTAATATGAGAAGAAAAGAAAAGTAGAATGAACAAAAACTGGGAAAATTTGGTCTAAGAAAATACTATAAAAAATATCTCAAGAGAATAAATTATAGGGGAAGTTGGGGTAAAACGGACACTTTCGATTTTTTTCAAAATGCTAATGAGGGGTTGAAATGATAAACTGTAATTTTTTTCAGTACAAAGAACAATTCTTTCCCTTTGTGATGAGCCTAAACTGAGCTCAATTGATCAATTTGTTTCTGAGTTATGAATAATTAGAAAAAGTCTAAAGTGTCCGTTTTACCCCACCCACCCCTACAGCAAAATCGAATTCTATTGACGTTTTCTGTTGATTATTTTCTATTCAATATTTCAATAGTCGGCCAAAAACTATTCACAAGTTATCAAATAGAATTTTCTAATGAATTCTCTAGGTTTTCCTATTAAATTAGTTCGTGCGTGACATCTTATTCAGTAGAGGAATTTGAAGATAAGCAAATCATTTATTGTACTATGGGCATTTGAAATTTTATGAATGAGAACAGATTATTTTTATCAGTGGTAATTTTTTTTGTAATGAGTATTGAATGATTATGGGGAAAGAATTCGAAAAAGAAAACATCGAATATGAGAGGAACCAGGGCATATAATGAAAAGGCAGCAACAGTGCGGTCACGATAGCGTTAGTGAATAGTAAAAAAACTTACCAATACTTTCAAATCCATGGTTTTTGTCACTTCCTTCAGAGTTCATGATAATCAACCTTTGATCAGTTCAGGCGAGCCTGTGTTTAAACTCTCAAAAGTTGTCTGAAAATTTAATTACCCATGAAAATTCACCTCCAACAGATGAATCCACAGAGACCTAATGAAAATTTCCACGAATTTCCCCCAGAGCCCATGGGAAACTCCCCAAAACCACAAAAATGGTGAAATTTCATACCTCAGACGATTAACCCCCTAAATTTCCAGGAACTCCTTTGATGTGTAACTGTTGACAAAGAATTCTGAACTCACGCACGTGTAGATTTGTTTGATCACCGGAATCAATCGCTAAACAGTGGTAAGAAAATGTAAGGTAAAAATTTTTTTTTTAAATAGAGTGATTCAACTTTGGCCTCGGAGTAAGCGGAGTGTGGAGTGAGTGCAGCGGACTTCACTCGCCTATTGAGGCGAGTCCCCAACGAACATGTGATTGGATGTCAGGTCAAGTTAGGTTATTTTTCCAGTCTTAACCAAAACATTGGGGTTTGCAGTGGAACGAAAATTCTCGAATTCTGTAGCATTTTCCGTGAGTTATCAACAAATTCCGTTTGTTAGTTTCCAAAAGGTCAACTTCATTGGAAAATGGAAGGGAATGATCGACAGTTGATTGTCAAAAATCTTCTTCATGTTGGAAACAAAAAAGTGGATTTTGTTCCTGGATCTAAGGTAAATTGACCTTTTTCATTCGTGAGGACACGCGTGCAAAACATTTCATAGAAAAACCTAGTGAATTTGAGAGTAAATTCTATTAGTTTGTAATCGATCCTATTGAAAAACTCATCAGCTGTATTGCACATATTTTTCTTTACCGAAAATGTCCAATTGAAACTATTATATTTTGTTTAAAAAAACAGTAGAATTCCATCTTTCTATACAACTTCTACTGAGGTATTTTCTACAGGAATTCCTCGACATGCATTTTCTCATTTTTCCGCTCTATTTTCCTTCTCTTTTCATTCATCACACAAAATTTAACAAAAAAGCTTAGAAAATTTGAGCTAAAGAATTTCTCTAGAAAGTACCTCAGTAAAAGAAGTTGTATAGAAAAATCGAATTAAGTTGATTTTTCTGATTTAAAATTTTTTTCTATAGAATATTTTTCATTGAACATTTCTATTGAAAAGAAAAGAAACGCGCAGATAAGCTGCCGATTTTTTCCGTACAAACGGCGAAAAACTAAACAAGTGGGAAATTGCTTTCATATTAATATAGTATAGTTTTTTGCTTCCTGATGGAAGCTTTGTAATCCGTCGTTTTTACGATTCTCTAATTTTGCTTGGAAATTGAAGAGTAGACCGAAGGAAATGGTAAAAGTAATAAACCACACGGTAAATCAAATATATCAAATTTTGCACGCCGTGTGTGCGTACAAAATTCTGGCAATTTTTTAAATAAATTTTGAAAGAACCAAGCAGGGGTACGAGCCCATCCGACAGAAGGCATGTGACCGTTACTTTTTGCGTTATTAGGCCTTCTCTTTTTTTCATTTCCACCAATTCCATTGGTAGTACGCTTCCGAATGGATCCGCAGCAATTCCCTGTCCTTGTGACAGGTATACGACCGTAAGCGTAAGCTATAGGATGTCTACAGGAAGATATTCAACCTTTTAATCAAATAGATTTATATAAAAGGTTAAATATCTTCGAAACTGCCCGGTCGATTGCGCCTATTCAAAATAAGAATCTTCAATATTGTAAGAGCTATAATCACACCAAATGTCAACTTGCTATTTTCATCTTTTCTCAAAATATGGTGCGTACAAGAATGAAAAAATTTGCGAAATGAAAAAATGGGACTATCTCTGAATGATTGCCTGGACGGGTAGACATATTTTGATTGATCTAGATAGTAGCCACCGAGACAAGTATTTAAAAAAAAATTGAAATCCTTCCAGTAGTTCATGAGATATTTAAAGAAATATATTTACACAAAAGGTTGAATATCTCAAGAATCGCTGGGCCAATTGCGCCCAACCACAACACCAACTTTTTCTGTTACAAAAGCTAGAAGCATACAAAATTGAAACTCACTATCTCCATTTTTCATCAAGTTATCGTGTAAACAATATTTTTCATGAAAAAACAGGAAAATGGCAATATCTTCACATTTTGTCTGAACGGATATATATACTTTGATTGATCTAGATAGAGGCCATCGAGACGAGTATTTTGAACAAAAAAATTGAAATTGGTGGAGTAGATTTTTAGATATTGAGGAAAAACGAAATTTAAAGAAGTTGTTATATCACAGGGACTACTGGCTCGATCGGGCTGAAACTGTGTACCAAAGTGAAGCTTAATCATAGCTACCATGAGCCAAAATTTCAGACTTTTATCGACAAATTTCACCGCATTTATGTTGAATTTTCTAAAAATTGATCACCAAAAACCCACGTTGTCACACACATACATACCGACATGACCCCAAAAACATAATTTCTTCACGTTTCGTAACATTCTAGACCATCTGCCATGAAAATTAGTAAATCGAAAAATCGTTCAAATACAAGGCTTCCATTCGGAAGCAATAAAGTATTTCAATGAAAAACAAGGATTTTAATGAAAAAACAGACAAACAGGCGTTGAAGCCATTTTGGCAGAAGCCATCAGACTGTTACTTTTGTGTTATAATTCTTTCTCTTTCTTTCATTTCTACCAATTTCATTGGTAGTAAGCTCCCGAATGGATCGTAGTTCGACTTTCTCTGAAAACTTGCTGTGAACGGGTAGATGTGTTTTAATTGATTAGATAGATGGCATCGAAACAAATATTGAAACGAGTAACCACAGAATGTACATATATACCCGTTCATACAAAGTTTTTGAGCTATCGCAGACAGAAAGTTTTCAGGGAAAGTCGAATATCTCGGAAACTAGTCGGTCGATTGAGCTCATTTTCAATAGAACAAAATGTCATCGTGGGGGGAAGATTCTCTCCAAATTTCAAGTTGATATATCAATTTTTGCACAAGCTAGAGTGATTACAACGATTTTTATGAAAAAACTGAAAATCTGAAATATCTCGAAAACTTTCTATGAACGGGTATGTTTGTTTTAATTGATTCAGATAGAAGGCATCGAGACGAATATGTTGAAAAAAAAAATTGAAATCGGTTGGCTAGTTTCGAAGATATTAACGAAAAACGATTTAAAAACGAATAGCTTTTTCTCAGAAAGTATTTGATCGATCAGGCTGAAATTTGGCACAGAGTTAGTCCTAGTTACGTACTATAATCTGACAAAATTTCAGATTTTTTGGAATAAGTTTAGTCAATTTATTACTCGATTTTCCAAAAAATGACCACCGGACAGGTGGCGATGGACATTGACACCGACAGACATGGTCTCCAAACTTCGTATTTTTACGTTTCAGATCATTCTACATCATTTCCAAGCAAAATTAGAAAATCGAAAAATAGAACGATTACAATGCTTCCATTCGGAAGCAAAAAATAGGACTATCTCAAGCACTTTGCATAAACAGGTATAGATGTTTTGATTGATCTAGGTAGAGGTCATCAAGATGAATATTTTGAAAAAAAAAAAAGTGGAATCGTTTGCGAAGTTTTAAAGATATTCAACATAGTAGATTTTCAGAAAAAGTTGGATATCTCCGAAACTACTGGTGCGATTGAGCCCGTCTTCAACACGAACCTTTGTTATCACAGGTGGAAGATTCTCTCCAAATTTCAAGCCGATATCTCGATTTTTGCACACGTTAGCGCGTGTATAAGGATTTTAATGAAAAACGGAAAAAGGGGAATATCTCGAAAACTTTGTATGAACGTGTATACATATTTTGATTGATCTAGATAGAAGACATCGAGACGAATATTTTGGAAAAAAAATTTGAAATCGGTCAAGTAGTTTTTGAGATATTGACCAAAATAGTTTTATACAAAAAGTTGAATATCTCTGGAACTACTCATCCGATATCGCCCAGTCACAATACGAACCTTTGGTATTATAAAAGTTACAACCCTACCAAATTTCAACCTCCTATCTCAAGTTTTTCTCAAGTTATCGCGTACACGGAATTTCGGGAAAAAATTAAAAATGGTCAATATCTCAGCCCAGTGAAGTTAGCAGACCAGGGTCGTCAGATCGAGTCGGCAAATATCTAAAAAATACGGGCTTTTTATGGGCTTTTTTCTGCAGAAAAATTAAATTTTCTCAAATATTTTGGCCAAAAAATCGATTTTTATGTTTGGGGTGTTAAGCTAGCAGACCAATGGGGTCGAATCGGAATAATTCATGCAGAATGGCATAGAATGAATTACGGGCTAATTTTCTGCACGAAAATAATTTCGTTTTTCCGGAATTTTCCCCGAATTTTCAAGGGCGTCAAATAGGGGTCAAATGAGGGTGGGGGCAAAACGGGTTCCTCGGACCCTAGCATCGCTGGACATATTTGGTGAAATATGGGTTCCTATTTGACGCCCATTCAAAATTTTCTGCAGAAAAACTGCCCATAAAAAGCCCGTATTTTTTAGATATTTGCCGACCCGATCTGATGAACTTGGTCTGCTAACTTCACGGGGTTCGATATCTCGGAAACTTTATATGAATGGGTATATATATTTTAATGGATCTAGATAGAAGACATCAAGACGAATATTTTGAAAAAAAAAATGAAATCGGTCAAGTAGTTTTGCAGATATTGACCAAAACATTTTTATACAAAAAGTTGAATATCTCTGGAACTACTGGAGCAATCGGGCTGAAACTGTGGGCCGAAGTTGAGCTCAATAGTACCTACTATGGGTCAAAATTTCAGATTTATATCAATGAATTTTCCCGTATTAATATTATATTTTCTAAAAAGTGATCACCCAAAAACCGAATCATCAGACCCGGACACAGATATTTTCTAAAAACATTTCTTCACGTTTCATATCATTCTACATCATTTCCAGGCAAAATTGGAGAATGTCAAATTCCGACGAATACAATGCTTCCATTCGGAAGCAAAAGGATTAAAGTGATAGCTAAAAATCTGAAATTTTGGCTCATAATTGGTATTACTTGGGAGCACATTTGGCCGAAATTTCAGTTTAATCCGTCCAGTAGTTTTTGAGATACACCGATTCCGAAAGTTTTTTCGTTTCTCAATATCTATAAAACTAAAAATATTCCTTATGATAATCGTTGGAAAGGTGGCGCCAGATCCCGGTCACACTGGGCTTAGGCCCTTTTAGGCGTATGACAGATATATTCGTTATGAGGAAACTAGATCTTGCACATGCGCGGATCTTCTCTGCATCAGGTTGTAACATGTGAGAGTTCACTCCACTGCGAGACGCGAGACGTGTTGTAGCCAATAAACCAGTGTTCTAATAATAAAACCCGTGTACCATTTATTGTGTCCACACCCGCCATCCAACAGGTTATGGGTCCAGAGCACGCTCCCTAGCGCAAATAAAAACTCAAGTGAGAAAGAAAAACAACAGTGATAGTGAAAAATAAGGACAAACCCTCAGGAACATAGCGCCAAGTGTCTGGTGGTCTGCGGTGGCGAGGAAAGGCGAGTGAAGGCTGAAAAGATGGAAAAGCCAGAAGGAGAGAGGCGTAAGTACGGTTGAATGTGCTATACCGGTGGTAAACATCTCCCAGACAACGAACAGGAGTTGCGTCATCGCGGGGAGATTGGCGGGAACAACGCGGACG